GCTGCCCTACGAGTGTTGTTCGATAGTATTACCGCGGGCACTGCAGTTGAAGGTCCTTCGCTATGTTCTATTCTCGCGAGCTCTTGTCACTTCGCCGAGGCAAGTTTAGCATATTATGGTAATTTCTGCGGAATTCGTTTTAACCTTTTGAAGGTTGGCAGCTACCCGTGGCACGAAGTTTATCACCAAACGGGACATTATTGCCTTCGATATCGAGAGTTCGTGGTATGTCGCCGGATTTCACTTTAATTTGTCAGCGTTGAACTTATAGAATACATCGCTGGTGCGAAGAATACAAAAATGTCGCTTTATTTGTCGGCTCAACTCACATTTGGCATGTGTCGGGTGTTCTATGAGAAAATCCGTCTGATTTTGCGTAGGTTTAACCATTTTATACGTTCTCCTCACCATACACACACTTAGTATTTTTCACTAACTTCACACGATTTATATTTGTTTGAAAAAAAATAGGAGACGCCCAAGACTTATACTCCCGTTCACTTGTGGTTTTTCGACCACAGGTGACGCAAATAGACGATTCGCGGTAAAACTTGTTACGCGTTCCTGCCACAATTCTCCAACCGTTTGTTGCTTTGCTTGCACTCTGTTAGAGTTGCTACCAAATATAGTTTCTTGAACCTTACAACGCCTTCCCCATACTGGAAAACCTGTATATGGGGAATTATTTCCTTCTATAGCCCACGAACCTTTAACCAGTTTGGGTTAATTTGCCAAATGTTACTATACTTGACTAAAAAACCGCTTAATTTCTGCGCAGGCTTACTCAACAAAGGAAGCCCGATATGATGGATATTGAAATACCCTTGAAATCTCATGATGACTTTGGAACCCTCGAACTTCCCGGTGCTCTGTATGACTCACAGCTTGATTGGCAAATCGTAAGTCAGTAATTGACATTAAACCCGGAAGGCTGGAAAAAGCTTCGAAGATTCGTTTTCTCTCCAAGCTAGGGTCGAGGATATCACACTTAATGAAATTTACATGACCCCCAAGGTAAAAATCTTTTAAAATATAACCTTTAGTACCCTACCAACGGATGCACCTTTGGAGAGGATTTTAGGACAGAATTTTTGACGGACTTGTTTGGGTGTGAGCAAAATGATCACAAGCACGGCATATTGGAGCAAGTACCAGAGGATCTTCCAAAGTAAGTTTGTACTACTCGTAGGAGTGATTTTCTGATACACCATAGACCCATTGGTCAGTCGCTGTTCAAACATTTGGTGTTAGTAGTAAAAGTATGATAGTATGTTCACTGAACTAATTGTTGGATGCTATTATTTCGTGTCTAAGTGGTAACGAGTTGGATGTACCTTAATACATACCCAAATGATTAACAGTTTACTGTTTGGGATGAAGAAAGGTCTAACTAATATTGCATACGAAGTTAAGCTAAACGGCAGGACAAGTGATTTCAAGTCAAATCGGCGCTCGTCCCTGAGTTACATGTTTACAAGATGTGTAAGCGGGCTAATCGGTGTGAAGAGCATATCTTAACAATTACTGATTAATGTGAAACATCTGAAACATATGTTCTTTTAAGCATTTTTACTTAGGATCTTTCCCTTTCTCTGAATCAACTAAGCACTTTAACGCGTGCCTATACTCTGACTGTAACTTATTTATACGAGATGTGGTATATAAAATATGATAAAATGTAGTAGGTTGTCAACAGTAAGACGGCGCCGTCGAGCAAACTAATTAAACTTAAATGTTTTGAGCCAATGTTTAAGCCAGCCGTCAGAAGAAAAACATCTGGGTAGTATACTGCTGCAGGATTTCGGTCAATTAAGCCTCAACTAATTGGTAGACCACCTGCCCTTAAGTTTCAATTCAACTCCAATCCATCCGCACGTGGGCTATATCGTAAACTCAAGTTTATCTGCAGTTATGTTCTATGCGTGACACTTCTTTAATCGTCAGACATTAATATACAAATTTAAATCACAGAAGCCTATTATATACTACCGGCATATAATTCCCTTACTTCAAATTACGTTAATGTCACTGAGTCCTGCTTCTTATATATCTGATTAGATTTAGATATCTGCCTTATGATTGATATTTCAGACATGAATTAGTTCCAACTTTCCTTTCTAATGTAAATTTTAGTTTTTGCAAAGCTACTGTTCTTCATCTTCTTTGGCTTACATATATATAGTTCTCGTAACGTCTTTCTTTGACTTCAGATTTCGAGTCAATATGACAGTTTCATTAGGGCATATTTTTATGCGTCCACATCTAATTTCGTCTAAAGTTCACCCCCAATTAATTATCTATCAGTTAACAAGGAAATATTGCTATCCTCCGTTCCGTGCTCGTTGCCCACTTAGTGTATGCAATTGACTTAGATTTGCTGTAGCTTGAAACGTCTAGTGAATCCAAAGAAAGCTCAGGATACCAACCCCTTAATGACAAGTCCTAAGTTTGACAAAGCATAAGAAGTAACACCACATTTTTTAACGGCAAAATTGTCTCCACCCCTTTAAAATACGAGTTCTACCTTGAACGAGCCTGATGATCCATCCGACGACCGGTCCACGAAATTAAAAAGTCATCGGTTAAAGCAAACAGATTAAACATACCCTCAAATGGCAAGATGGGAAAATGCGAGTAGCGAATAACAGTTTAAAATTTTGTGCTTGAGAGGCGAGGACCTGACGTAAACCACTAGGAATTATCATGCTGGTTGTGCTTTATGGAAACATCGGGCTTAATCAAAATGCAATATTTTTCAAAGTTATGTAACGTCGAAACTAAGCAAGCTCGAATAAGCCAGGAGTATCACCACAAGGTCTATCAACTGTCTTGCCGATTGTTTATATTGTGATCTAGAGATGATTGTGGCATATGTTTAACTACCTAGGCCGCTTATAGACTTTATGCGCTCCCGTTGTACGTATATTCTAAGTATATATTTGAGGTTTCTGACACCGACATGGCGTTCTTATTTGTCATGATCAGTATATGTTTTATAACTTAGAAAAATAAGACAACCTGTGCCGACCGAACTTTCAACGGTGTAGTGTAACTTCCTCTGGTCAATTCAGCCTTGTACGGCATGTAAATACTTTGAATAATTGCCGGCGTCTAAGTAATTTATTTCCTCTAGTAAGACAGCGAACAACACATTCTTAAATAAAGTCGTTGGAGTGGTCACAACATCGTACTTTGCTCCCCCCCCATTTGAAAGCATCAACTCGCCCAGCAACTCTAATTGTCATGACTCGTTTTAAGAACCCTTGTTCATATTTTGTTGATTAACATGGTATCTTACTGAATTTAGATCTATTTCGACCGAACTAGGGGTTCCAGCGATGCCAACAGAAGTCGACCTGGACCTGCAAATCGGGCAGTCACAATCGGAGCAACTACAAAGGTTGGTTCCTTCTGTTTCGCCCACTATTCGATGATGAAGATGGAGTGCATCGGAGGCAAATGTGCTTTTTCGGCGCATTTGAATTGACGACATATCCTATTTTTTTCTGAGAATTTTGCGTTATTCTTACCCCTCCAGGCTGAAAGAAAGAACAACAGCAACCGGATTTTTAGACGTTTCGCATCAATTTAGCCCCAATCATACGGTAAAGGAACATTCTGAAAAAACGGTCGAGTTCACAGAGTAAGCGATTTTCGATCCTTATATTCTCTTTCCTCTTATGCCACGCCCCTGCAACGGTAAACATTTTCATTAGTCATTGTCTCAAAATTGAGCCTCAAATATATTGGGCACGTCTCCGGAATTGTGCTCAAGCCACTCTGATCTCAAACAGTATGATTAACCACCCAGTTTTAGTGTTGATTACGGGTCTTGTGCACATTCCTGACTCGGCCAACTTTCGGAGCGAGTCTGAAAGCATTTGTGAGCATACTGAAGGCTTGAGCCTTTCTGTAGAATGACTCCTGGACATCAATAACAACCAAACTTTCAAGCTCGTCTGGAAAGTGGAAAAATGGATCAAACACTTCACCATCAGCTACTCATATCTAGCCAGTCTAACATTCGGTTAGCTATGACGAAGTTTTATATGATTACCAGGTGTCCCCTTCCAGTTAGATCTTATAAGCGTCATATGTCATCGCATAACGAGGGAGCAATTAGCATTTACTCCAATAAATACAATAAATACATAACTATAATCAGGCCCGAGGTGCGTTCTGCTCATTCTCAGGAGTACACTAAATTTTGATCTGACAATGACCATCTCGTGATCTCCGATAAAGTAGTCTCATGTCTGTCATACGTCGCATTTGCGCATCCTTGTCACCCAAGGCAGCAATTGAGTTCGCTTCAACCTTATTCTTGAGGATAGGTTATTCTCGCATTAACCCACTCCTTCGGCACTATTTCAGGGTTAGTGAGCCTACACGAGCCTATTATGACGGGATCTCATAGTAGCGGAGATTGTTTTTTCTTCCCTAATCGTATTTCTGACCGGTTATTTAACTTCTGTCCTGTGATAAGGCCCGTGAGCTGCAAGGCTGTAAATCCGCTATTCTGAGGACAGAAAATTAGAGAACGTCATAGAGAACTGTCCATTCCCTTATTTGGCCTTATGAACTTGCTAGCATCAAGGGCACGCCTTCTGGAAACAAGGGTTCCCATCTAAAATCTTTTTTTTTAGCAGAAAAGGGCTGTCGCACCTGTTGCAGTGACATTTTTACGCCATTTTGACTAACGACGGGGCTTGCACGAGCCTTTTGGTAACCCATGGTTTATTCCTTGGAATTCGCATTCTGCTGACGTCAGTTAGTGATTTTGTTTACTTGCAACATTTTCCATCCACTTTATATATCCTTCCTATACAGGCCTGTTGTACAACCGGTTCCAGGGCCATCGATCACAAACTACGAAGCAAGTTCCAAAACTTTGTGCAATGTAATTTTTTCCTTTTTTTAAAATGCGTTTTTTGCTGCTTTTGTCTTGTAACTCCAACGAGCGCTGTCAAGGAACCACTTGGGTGAAATTCCCACCCGCATGAGCACGCTGTTATTTGGCCAAAAAACAAAATAAGTATGATTTACCGAATTAAAGGCTGTTGTCACTTATCTAGAGACTTCATTTCGTTAACAACTTCGCAGACTAGTAGGTAGTGTATCCGTTGCTTGTGGTCAGAATAGTTATCTTTGTGCGTACAAAACTCCACTTCTGACCGCCCTCAGCACGAGTACATAATCCGAGCCAGTTTTCCACCCCTACTTTCTGCAAAGTTCTGCTGGCTTGGTCGCGGTTTCGCAGATTGCCTGCTTTCTGCTGCTTGATGACAAATGCGATTTTAGCATGCAGCAGGATAAAACTAAGTGGCTCACCACCGCTTATTTTGGGTTGAAATTATAAGACTCGGTTCAATGATCCCTGTCGATTATTACTGTGTAGTATTCGATAGTTGCGTTGCCTGGGCAATATGTTTAGTGCAGAGCAGAGGAAACCACAGTTCTCCATGCTGAGTAGTATAATAGCTTTGGAGTAGCCACAACACGTGACTTGACCATAAAAGGGCAAATATCATTTCCTCATCCTTCCTGACTGCTGTGACGGCCTTTATTTACTTGAAATGTTTTATGTTGAAGTGGAACCGACAAAGATAAGAGAGACCTGAATGGCCATTCCTTGCTGATAAGCTGCCATCAGCCAGGCATACCCAATCCCAGGTGTGGATCACCCTAGATTCGCACCCGGGACTTTTCATTATGGAGTACAAAACTACCATTGCACCAAAGGCTTGTTGCTTTTGTCGGTTGCGATCGGGAGTATGATGGAAGTAGGGCGCTCACCGATTTGGCTACGGAAAATGCTCGTTTTTTGTGCTTTGGAGCTCAATCTAGAGCCCTCACAGGCAGTCACATAGTGACCTGTGTTATATGTTGAGGCGGGACCGACAAAGACAAGGGAGATCGGAATGGCCATTTCTGGCCAAAGTACAACGTAACCAGATTGGTGAGCACCCTTTTTCCACTTTCTATTATGCTAATTGCCTTCATGCGTACACTCTTGAGTTTTTCGTTTTTGTCCGTCTGAGAAGGAAATTAGGAAAAGACAACTATCGTTATTTTAATACCTTTGGTGTCTCGATAAAATTAAGTAAATTTTCCACTATGCTTTTTCTCTCTTCCATTAATGAAGCACCCATACAAGGTCGCAGAACTTGGGTTCATATTGGTCTGAGCGAATTTTACCCCTAGCTCATGCAAAATCAGCTTGTTGCAGGCTGATTATTGTGGCTTATGTTATTTGATTTATGACAGTTTTTAGCTTTGGACTCTCCCAACAATTCTTCATGTCTTACATTCAGACTGAACGAAGAGAGCCAGTAGCAGAAGAGGCTAGCACGTCAGTCCCTTCTGGCGCCAAAAAAGCTCGTTTCGAGGAGGAGATGGGTGCCCTCCCTGCCAATATGTCCGATATTCCAAACGATCCTTCGTTGCTGATAGCGCCCACTGGAACAGCTGGAACACCTCTGGCCCGGTCATCTGCTGAAGAACCCCAACTTCGCCCGCCTTGCGCGGCTTCGTCTGCAAAGCGGTAAGTCTGCATTTTTTGAACCCGCCTATTTTTCTGCTTATGATATCACAAACTGAATTCAGTTAGCTCAGAACTTTCCAGTCTCCAGAATTTTCGACAGAATGTCTGATGTATCGTAAACTTATATAGTGTTGAGAAAAGATTCAAGATTGGGGAAGAGTTTACATAAACTTTACAGGTTCATGTTGTTAAATATTGCTTCTAGTTTCGTCTGGCTGTATTAAACTTGGAGACGCGCTAGTTGTAAGTATGCGAAACAATCAAGCGAGGCTTTGTTGGCGAAACTTCTTAATTTTACGTATCTTTCGAGTAAGTTAAAAGTTCCATAATCTGTTGTAGAGATATTAGATCAAATGTGTAAGGAGTAGACAGAGAGCATCTAAGATGATTTAGTCTTCTTTGGGACGACAATGCAGCTTAGAGTGGGACAAAATAAAAACAGTATACAGTAGTCGCCGGCTATTAAGCCACGGTTAATAGGCCCAGCCGCTTATTAAGCCCAATTTGGTCTGGGCCCGAGGTGGGCTTAATAACCGGCGACAACTGTAGCTGCGTATTTTCCTCCAAAAGCTAATTTTCTCATTCGGACATAATTTACTGCACACAGAATGTTAACCTCTGTTAAGGAACTAAAGTCGAGAACAGCGGTAGGGGTGCATTATGTGGGGAGTCAAAATGCTTGAGTGCTGTTTGAATTTTTCGTTTCCCAGACTTTGCCAAATATTTTTTTCAACCGTCCTCCACTTATATCAAGTGTATTTGAAGGGATTAATAGTATGTGCTTAATTTTTCCCGTAACGCTCGTAGGTGAACTAACTACGCATAGCATCCTGTTTTTGTTTAATTGTAAAACATTGAGATTTGTCCACTACCGATAGTCAGGAAATCAACACAAAAAGCCTTGAGGTGATGTCCTAAAAGAAACAGGCCAGACTGTCCGTCGCAGAACACATACCAGTTCTCTAGGCCCAGTGATTGTGTCACGAACTCCCATTGACATGCTTATCAGCTGTTGTCTGGATTACCTGCTTCCAAGGGGTCTGGGCGGAATTAGAATCAGTTTTATCTGCATCGAGATGTCAGAATTTGTCTCAATTATCGTCCTCGTGGAGGTGACTGGTGGCCGTTTGTGGTCTTAGAGAAGCCGAACACTATCATACTGAAGAGTATACCGCGCCATGTCGCTGTTATACGAAGACCAGTTTTCGGTAAGGATTATTTATATAGCCTCCTCATCTGGCCATGTGTACAGAAATTGCCCCCCCTCCCCACCATACAGGTAACTTTGCGCCAAATTGCAGATAACGTAGGGTTATTTGTAGCCTTAAGACTGTGGTTACATTTAGAGTTAGCTTTAGGTTAAGGTTACGGTTAGGATTAAGTTTGGGGTTAGTGTTAGCGGAAGGGTTAGGGTAAGATTAGGACTACGACTTAGGTTACTGTTAGGGCTAATATGAGGGTTGGGGCACGGGAATATTTACCCTTTTTGGAATTATGCGCAGGACCACCCTTACTACTTGAGCAGGGGTTTCCATTCCCATATCACGTTTAAGGGGCCATACAAGTCATCCCAACCCAGTTTTCTACTAATTTAAGGTCTGAATCTTCCTGCTTCTACATTCTAACGGCCTGCCAACTCACTGTATTTTTTATCCGTTTTTATTTCCTGCGTTGAACGAACATGGCTGACCAAAGTTCATGTACCAACCTGTTTATTTATTATTTTACCACTTGGTTGCGAAGCCCGACCGATCTGACTGACGTCCTCTACACCCTGTGAACGCGTGCCCTATACAATGACGTTCCGCAATAGCAGTCACCTGTTCGTCTATAGAAAGCGTTTTGATGAAGCCACGTGCGCATCCAAAAATTCTTCTTATTAACATATTTTGAAAACTCAAATACTTCCTTGCTTACTAGGAAACGCAACTTCCTACGAACCCGGCATAAGAATGAAATTTTTATGTATCCCTTCCAGGCAATAGAGCTGTAACCACAAGGATCAGTCGATGAATGACGTACTGCCTAAGTAGCCCTTTTATTCCCTAGTATGATTTGTGCGTGGCTAAAAAGGTGGATTGTCATAAAGCTACATGCTATCTTGTATAAATTAACTCCGGGATTCGCTTCGCTGCTACGTACTCTGTCAAATTCACTTAAACAACCTTTTCTACTTGGAAGCTGGTTTTGTGATTTGCGTGAATATTTCATGGGTACAGTAAAACCTCAGTAAAGAGTTTTATTCGTTCCGCCACCGAGCTCGTCATGTGAAACTCTCGGCTTGCGAAACGTAACCAATCAAACTGCATCAGGGCAACAGTAGCTTATGTAGGCCCACTCATTAACCCCTACTCCCTGTATGTTTTCCCACGAAAACTGTGGTTG